ACGGCCCTTGAGCAGCAGCACTGAGTGTGAGGCGGGGAAGAGAGTTCCTGCCTCCTGCACACAGAACTGAGCTTCCTTCATCCGCCCGTCAGCCATGAACAACTCTCCTGCTTGGCACCACATCACAAAACATACACGAATATTATGAGATCAACAATAACCCATAATTGCACGAAAAATTACATTATTACAGTTACAACTCTCCACTTTCAGTGACTGCTTTGTCATATTGTGAGATTCTCTTATTGATATCATTGAGTGCACATGATGATTCATCTTTATGAAACATCTCTGACTTCACAGCCGTGACACAGCCATCTGGAACATCAACAATCTCAAAGACGTATCTGCTGCCACAGCATCAATACTCGCTCAGAGTAAAGCACTGAATACCAACATGCTCCATCATTTCAGACCAGCTTTGCTTCAACCAGGAGAATCGAACGCATGTAGCATTTTCTTCTGTCCAGATGATTTAGGATGAAGCTTTGGCAGCATATTTGCGATTGCAGTTATATGCTGACCTCCCCCCTCCACCCAAAATCTCACACACATGCTCATAGAGGGATTTTCATGGTCATGTCTAAATAAGGCCATGTGTGGAGCGCTGTGTAAGCATCTGCAGCTCTACTCTGGCATTTAGGACTCACCACAGCAAATCAACTGTGTCTGTTGAGTGTTTGTGTTTGTTTACACAGAATCACTGGTAGGACAATTTAGGCAGCAACTACACCAAAAAAAGAAGGTTGTTACACACCTATGGAAATGGCGCACATGTTCATTATAGTGTTTCAAAGACGGCAATGTATTTAAATTTTTCTTCACACTTATCATAATTAACTGCTTAACATACAGACTCTGTCCATACTTTGTTTTGGAGATAAAAGGAATAGGAATCAATGCGATTTGGGAATGAATTAAAAAACTGAATTAAAAAAAAGAATTAAAATGAAAACTGAAAATTCAAAATATTATTAAATACTATAATAGTATATCAGTAATACACTGGTTTGAAAGTGACTGTGATCTCATACACAACACTATTGATTTCATACATTGCTACACTATTGCCAATAGATAATGAACCTTTCTTGCCTGTAAAATTTCACCAAAATTTTGCAAATGTGTATTTATGTATTTTCTACTTTTGGGAAATTTAGGATTGAGAGTTTGCAAATTTCCCACTGATTTTGTTGAAACGTTTAACATTCAAAATGTCACTGACAATGACGGCGTTATTGTAATATTTGCATACTGGTCGTCTTATAATAATTATTTGCATAGTGAGCTGTGATGGCCTTTCTTACATATATTTAACCATCTATAGCTGCACAGTTTTGTGTTGTGTAGATTCTTCAAAGACAACATATGCTGAGTGTCATGACAACAATGAAATATAATTTTAATTAAAAAACATTAATTCCACAATATATATATATATATATATATATATATATATATATATAATGCATATTAAAATATTTAATA